GGCCTCTCCCATTGCGGAGCACAGGCTCCGGACGCACAGGCTCAGCGGCCATGGCTCACGGGCCCAGCTGCTCCGCAGCACGTGGGATCTTTCTGGACCGGGGCACGAACCCGCGTCCCCTGCATCGGCAGGCGGACTCTCAACCACTGCGCCACAAGGGAAGCCCTAAACAGATTTTTCTTTTTTTTTTTTGCAGCTAACATTTATTTGGCACTTACTATGTGCCAGGCACTGTTCTTAGCTCTCATTTAATTCTTTTGAGGTAGGTACTGTTAATGTCTCCATTTTACAGATAGTAATAATTACAGCTAACATAAGTATTGCTTACCATATACTAGGTACAAAAGTGTTAAACATTCCTTCATTTACATATATTTATGAAAACTTCACAACAGCCCTATGACGTAAATATTATTTTTATTATCTCAAGTTTATATGAGAGGCATCTAAGGCCCAGAGGGATTAAGTAAATTATCTAAGGTCACACAGCAACTATGAGTGGAAACTGAGATTCAAAGCCAGGAAGTCCATATCAAAATGACCCCCTTGGGACTTCCCTGGTAGCACAGTGGTTAAGAATCCACCTGCCAATGGAGGGAACACGGGTTCGAGCCCTGGTTCGGGAAGATCCCACATGCCGTGGATCAACTAAGCCCACGTGCCACAACTACTGAGCCTGCGTGCCACAACTACTGAAGCCCATGCACCTACAGCCCATGTTCTGCAACAAGAGAAGCCACCGCAACGAGAAGCCAGTGCACCACAACGAAGAGTAGCCCCCGCTCGCCGCAACTAGAGAAAGCCCTCGTGCAACAATGAAGACCCAACGCAGCCAAAAATAAATAAATAAATAAGAACTTACTAGACTGGAAACTAAATCTATCTCAAAAAATCAAAAATCAAAAATCTCCCCCTTAAATGGCTAAATTAAGTACTACTGTTTCTTGGCTGCTTGCCCCTCACCCTCTAGGAATGTCAAGATCATTGGCTTAAAATTGGGGGGATTCTCAAGAACCACCTTCCCAAGAGCCTTTGGGGGCAAGTTCCCTTTAGTAACAACCTGTAGAATCCTGGGGTCTCCTTGGAGGTATGCCGTTTCCCAGATGCTCACCTGGGTCAGGTGACAAAGAGCAGCCCTCACACTGACTAGTCGGTCCTGCAGGAGGCGCTGGCGCCCCCAAGCCCTCCCAGGAGCTGCAGCCTCCCTGGTTGCTTGGCCCAGCTGCTGTCGAGTCAATTCCAGGGCTGCTTCTAGCTGCTCCTGCACCGAAAGGGAAGATGGTTAGACTTCTGAAACCACCCCCAGCCTCAGGAAGAGAGAAAAGGTGTCTTCCTATATCCTTGGGTATGCTGGGGATCAGGATGGGCTAAGGGCACGTGGAGAGGCCAGATGCCCCTCCCCTGTCCCAGAGCCCTGTACCTTCTCCTCCTGCCTCTGATCTATCTCCTCCTGCAGCCTCTTCAGAAGCCGGTCCTGCCCACATAACTTGGTCAACAGAGTCTGGAGAAAGGAGGACAGGAGCTATTTATGGACCAGATCTGGCTCTTCCCGCTGCCCCACAATTTAAACATTCTCTCCCCAGCTCTGGGAACTCAGCAAGGGTTCGATCAGGAGAACTTACATCTGTCTCCAAGCTTTGGTGGAAGGTTGAGTCTAGAGGGGGACCCGGCTGAGGAGAAAGAGAAAGGTTGGAGGTCACATGCCCAAACAGGTCCTTATTGTAGCTCAGCGCTGAGCTGAGCCCTGTTGCTACTAACAGACACCCCTGTCCTTACTAGCTTTGTTCCAAGTTTAGCAAACCTCAGTAGACCAATTGTCAGACTTTTGGCTTTAGGAAGTGGTCTTTGCTACCAAATAGCTATAGCAAATAAATAATTAATGGAGAAAACTTAGAGAGTTCCTTTATGACTGAGAATAAAATAAGGATGCTCACTACCACTGTTACAGTTTAACACACTATTAGAGATCTTGACCAATGCTATAAGATAAGAAAAAGAATAGAAGTGTAAGGATAGGAAGGGGAATGATAAAAACATCATTATTTATAGAAGATGTGCTCATCAATCCCCCCCAGAAAAATAGCATAAAAAATTATTAGAATAAATAAGAGAATTCAGCAAGGATGCCAGGTGTAAAATGAACTTACAAACACTAATAGCCTATCTCTACACCATCAATAACTAGAAAATATTTTTTAAAAAAGAATATACCATTCAAATAACTATAAAAACTATCAGTAGGGAATTCCCTGGTGGTCCAGTGGTTAGGACTCGGTGCTTTCACTGCCAGTGACCTGGGTTCAAACCCTAGTCAAGAGACTAAGATCCCTCAAGCCACACAGCATGGCCAAAAAAAAACAAAAAACTATCAGGAATTTAGGAATTACCTTAATTACCTTAACTAATAGCACAAAAATCTCTATGGAAAAACTCAAATGACAGACCTAGAAAATTATATGAATGAATGGAGAGATATTCTATATATATATGCCACCCAGTTTTCAACGGCCCTAGGAAACTAATATATATCCAGGCACCTTGAAATACCCAGTTTTCTCTAGGCACACTAGTCCAGGAGATGACATTCACCATAGCAAAGAAAGCAAGGGAGGGGGCTCTGGCAGATTCGAGGTGCCCCAGGATACCTACCAATAAAACCATGGAAGCCCGGGTCCCAGGAGGCCTTGGAGGGAGCTGGAGATATGTGGAGGAACCAGAGGGGACCTGGGAGGAATACTGATATAGAGATGTTTAGAAATTGGCATGTCTTACTAACAAATATTAGAATGGATGTGTCCCGAACTGCAGTGCCTTAGGAGACTCTTTGAGGTTCAGAACTGGGCCCCCACAACTTCCTCAGCTATCTGCTCCCCAGCTGTGTGCCATTGTGGGGACACAGAGAATGCTAATAAATGGAAAGCCTGGCAAAACAGTCCCACGGACCAATGGAAGTTGCAGTCTACTCTCACTCTCACATTCGTGGTCAGCTGTGGAGTTTCAGGACTACAGTCCCATGATGCTCAGAGGAAATAGTAGGTGACCAACTTAGAAAGATAAACTGGAGACACAAGGCAGATGCAATCGACGCTACCTCTCACAGCATTGTCCTAGAGGAGAGTATTCTGGACTACAATCTCCATAATGCTTAAGGGGTAATGGCCAAAGACCAGCCTGAGGAGAGCCCTGAGAACTCATGGGAGTTAAAGTTCACTCTCCCTTTCACATCTGAACCCAGCTGTGATTATGCTGAACTACAATCCCCATGATACCCAGGGGCCAGTGGCCTAGAGACCAGCCTGGAAAGACAGCCCCATGGCCAAATGGGAGATTTAGTCCCTCTCCCCATCACCTCTGCTCACCGGTGTTCTGGCCTCCTGACTCCAGTGCTGGGGACTCCTAGGGTCCCTTCCTCCCCCAGCCTCGGAGGAGGGTCCTCGTCGGGCAGTGGGGGGCCTGGAGAGTGTCTGGCGCTGGGGGGCCCAATCAGAGGGAGGTCGGACATCGATGCGACTCAAGGGGGTATGGGGTCTGGCAGAAGGTGCTGTGTCTCCAGAGGAGGGAGGGGGTCTGCGTGCAGGAGCAGAACGGGGCCGGGGGAGGCTCAGAGGGGAGGGAGGGCGAGAGAAGGGTGTGAACAGGCTGTAGGGAAGAGAGAATAGGCGAACTGTGTCAACTAGAGCCCCCTCATCCCACTACCCATCAAGCCAGCCTCAAAGATGTGTCTCCCATCAGGGTGTCTCACTGTCCCTCTGGAGAAGAACCCTCCTCTAGTAGCCAGATCCTGAATAATTTCCCTCTTTGTGGTATCTCCTCCTTAAGACTTCTCCCCAACAGGCACTGACCCCACAAGAACCCAGCAAGTCACACACATCAGTGAGAAAGCACTAAGTCACTACCCTAATCAGTCCCAGCCACGCCCCTCGGCCACGCCCACAACATTTCCTCTGAAGCTCAGCCCTATACAACCTTCTCGTCCCAGACTCCCTCGTCCAACTCACTCTGGGCTCCTTGTCCTCCGAATTCGGGGTCCAGATTGGAGGTCAGCCATGGGGCTGGGGGTGAGCAGCCGGCCACGAACTCTGGAGAGACGAGCCACCTCCGGTGATTCTGAGCCGCGCCCCTCTTCCCCTCTGCTCACCTCTGGGGGACCACCGGGGCCGCCAGGGCCCTCCCCAGTCTGGGGACGTGCAGATGACCTGGGTTGCCCACTAACGAGTGGACACAGAAAAAGACATCACTCCTTTGAACTTTATAACAGCCCTTATTCCCATTTCACAGATAAGGACACAGGAACCTACAAAGAAAAAAGGGAAGGTAGTGCACTGTAAATTGTTTTCCCCATTTTGCAGATGGGGAAACTGAGGCCCGAGTTGGAAGTGACTTGTTCAGGGCCACAAGGTCCATCCAGGTCGCTGGGCCCAATGCCCTAGACTATGCGTCTCCAGCCTGAAAATTGGGGCAGGCAGACAGAGCCTGGAGCCTTCCCTTTTTTTTTAATCTGACATTTTTTAGGTGGCAGCCTCAGGGGGTGGAGACTTCTGCGGGAGCCAGTTAGAGAGTGATCAATATTAATGGACAAAACGGTGGGCGGAGCTTACAAAAGATAGACGCTTTGCTGATTGGAGATGAAGTCCCCTGGACGAGGGGCCTGAAGGGCGGAGTTTCCATAGCTAGAAGAATAGTGGTTGGACACTGAAGAGGGCAGGGCCTTAAAGGGAGGGGTTAGCCGGATAATTTGCAGGACCCAGACTGGAGGTAGAGTGTCAGGGGCGTGGCCTGTACTTATACTCACCAATCGTCCCCCTCCGCGCGGGAGGCCCGCCCCAGTGCCCGTAGCCAGCCCCTCAGGTCTTCTAGCGTGTCAGCCGCCAGAACGTAGGTCCTCATGCCCGGGTGCTCCGCCTGTGGGAAGAAAGAGCTAGAGGACCCGGCCGCCGGGCCCTCTAAAAAGAAGGTTGCCATGGACCCTGGTCTTTATCTCCAGTAATGGATGCTCCTTGCCTGCCCCCATCGCCTAGTGCCTTAGTGCCCATGGGGGTTGGATGGACTCACGGTGAAGGTGAAGCGCCGCCCTCGGGGGGCTCCTGGACCATCTGGCCTGATACTGTAGCTGGGGAGCAGGACGCTTCCCAGGACGCTCTCCTCGCGGCTGTCTGCAAAAGACAGGCTGGGGTCAAGTGTCACACAGGGATCTAGAGGCCAAGAGGCTAGAGGAAAGGGAGGGTGGGAAGGGGGCCCGCCCACCCCATGCCAGCTGGGGCACTGACCCTTGTAATAGAAGAGGCAATGGCCAGAGAGGACGAACCAGCGGCGTTTCCAGAGCCGGAGCCCGGAGCTGTCCTGGAGAGACAGAGTGGGAGTAGAGGGGGGAGGGAAAAAAGGAGATGGAGACAGTGACACTTGGGGCCAAAGACCCAAAGAAAGGAGAGGGGCAGAGACACATGTTTGGTGCAATAGATTCAGATGGAGAACTGGAAACCAGTGGGTTGCAGTTGAGAGGACATAGATTCTGGACACAGGTGGACCTGAGTTTGACTCTTAGCTCCACCACTTTCAAACTGTGCTCTTAAGCAAGCCACTTCCCCACTAGAAACCTCATTTTTTCCTCATGTGTCAATTGGGGATTGAGAAGTTACAGGAAGATTGGGACAGATACTGTACCACATACGGGCAGCGGCTTTATATAGGAAGACTTGGCCCGATCATTATGGAGTGTGAGACACAGAGAGGCCAGGAAGGTGATGCTGAGCCACACCCTGAATCCTGCATCTCCCCATCTCCTCTTCCAGAACTGCTCCATCTCTAACCTTGTGCCCCTCTTCTCCCCTTCAATCCATTCCCACAGAAGCAGCATGATGATCTTTTAAAATTATAAATCAGACCATGTGAGTCCCCTGCTCAAAACAGAGCTTCCCGTCACACTTAAAATAAAACTCAAGTTCCTTACCCTAATTTGCTGGCTTACAGGGAATCTAAAACTGGGGTGCACATAAGAATCACCAGGAGGGCTCATTAAAACACAGATTCCTGGGTCCCATCCCCAGAGTTCTCCAGTCAGTAGATCTGAGGTGGGAGCTGACAATTTGCATTTCTAGAAAGTTCCCGGGTGATGCTGGTGCTGCTGGTCTGGGACCACACTCAGAGAAGCTCGCCCCGTCGCCCTGCCGCCCCTCCTCTCTCTCACTTTGGCTTGCTCCAAACACCAAACTGTGGCCTGCTGCAGGGCCCTTTGCTTTCAGATTCCCTCTGCCCCCCAGATCTTAACACAATGGGCTCCTTCTTGACATATAATTCTCAGCTCAAATGTCATCTCCTCAGAGATGCCTTCCCCGACCAACAGTCAAAAGTAGCTCTCATCCCTCAGCCACTTTCCAGCACATTCTCCTGCATTATTTCTTCACAGTGCTTAATTTCCCACCATCCAAAATCATTTAGTCCACTTGTTTTATACTAATTTATTATCCATCCCTGTCCCACCCCCATCTTGAATGTAGATAGATACTTATTTGTCTTATTTGCATGGTATGTGACCCAGGGCTTGGCACATTGTAAATGTTCAAGAAGTGGTCGTTGGACTTCCCTGGTGGCACAGTGGTTAAGAATCCGCCTGCCAATGCAGGGGACACGGGTTCGAGCCCTGGTCCGGGAAGATCCCACATGCCGCAGAGCAACTAAGCCCGCGCGCCACAACTACTGAGCCCGCGAGCCACAACTACTGAAGCCCGCGTGCATAGAGCCCGTGCTCTGCAACAAGAGGAGCCACCGCAGTGAGAAGCCCGCGCACCGCAACGAAGAGTAGCCCCCGCTCGCCGCAACTAGAGAAAGCCTGCGCGCAGCAACAAAGACCCAATGCAGCCAAAAATAAAATAAAGCATAAATAAATTTATGATAAAAAAGTGGTCATTGAATGAATGAATGAAAGAAACGACAGAATAAAGGAGGAAGCAGTGATCAAAAATATATATATATTTGGAGAAGACTTGGAAGGAGAGGAACAGTGGACAGCCAGGGGCACAGCCTCTAACATCACTTGGAGTGTCCTTTCCCTTCTTCTGCTCACTCTACCTGCTTATGAAGCCAGCCTCGGATGTGCACAGGGAGGTTAGGGTCCCTTCTGAGCGCATTGCCCCTCTTCCCGAAGGCATGCACCTTGCTTACCGCCCGGGTCGACTTCTGAAGAGACAAGGAGGACAGAAGTGAACATGGCCTTGGGATGGACTTGGGGAGGCGGTGCAGTGGGACTCAGGCAACCCAAGGCCCTCCTCAGCTGCCTTTAGAAAATGGGTCAAGGAGGGAGCTGAGGGAGTTCCCTGGTGGCCTAGTGGTTAGGATTCGGCGCTTTCACTGCCGTGGTCCAGGTTCAATCCCTGGTCGGGGAACTGAGATTAAAAAACAAAGAGGGATCTGAGTTTGGGGATGAGAATTGCATGTGCATAGAGCAGAGTTGACAGACACTTTTCATGCGTGGCGGGAGGTGTCTGGAGGCAAGGAAGAGGCTACTGGCCACTGTGGAGGGAATTTGGGAATCAAGGGTCCACTGCCAAGGAGAGGATGCTCTTGGCCACCAGAGCCCGAGATGTAGTAGAGCCTTTGGGATCCAAGATGGCAATACTGCCTGGGAGGTCCCCATGATCAGGAAGGACCTCTGTGCTGAGTCCCTAGTGATGGGTCAGCTGGAATCAAAGGATACCTCAGTGCCAAGGAATGACATTCCTTAGCAATCATGTCCAGGGTGGCGGTGGGAGCTCCAAATCCCTTCATCCCAGTAGATGGGCCTCCCTCTCCTGTGCACACAGATATCCCAGGCACCCATGGCCAGATTCCCACAGGATGCCCCTCCTTGGTGACGATGCTGATCCAGGTCAGGTTCAAATCTACAGAATCTGAACTTGGGAAGCTAGAAATGAGTGAGGGGAATGTCTGGAGGACAAGAAAATGAAGGTCATGCCTGAACATTGGGCTGGGGTGATGATTTGGGATGCAAGAATCTAAGGCCACATGGGGCATATTTATTGTTGGAGAAGGGTCTTTCCTTTATCAGATTTCAGAACTGGGTAGATGGGATGGCTAGAGACAGGACACGGATTTCTCAGTCCTAATAAGAGTAGCCACTGTGTTCCTAGCTGGGGAGAGGGGAGGTCACGGCTGGAGAGTGGCCTTATCTTAGCAACCAGAGTTAAGCAGGGTTGTTACTCTGGCTTCGAATTAGGAAAATACAAGGGGTGGGGACAGCTGGGAGTGCCTCTGAATTCCTAGCTGTGGCGGGTGGGAAATTTGGGACCTTGCTAGGTTTGGCACACCCTGTTGCTAAAGATCCTTGCTTTTGACAAGCAGAGTCCCGCGGGTGGCACCAAAACCAGGGTTCGGAAACAGGAGGATGGGGCAGCCCAGGGCACCCCCCTCCTCCCCAGCCCCACCAAGAAGCTCGAACCTTAGTGCTTAGGCTGCCAAGCGAGGAGACGGTAGAGGCGCTGCTGGCCAGGCTGAGGCTGCTCCGAGGTCTGCCTTCCTCCATCAAGGGCTTGGGGAGAGGAAAAAAAGGGGCTGTGTGTGCCTCTCTGCAGATGACCCGGCTGGGGACAGAGACAGGGTCAGGGGCTTGCAGGTCGGAGGAGGCTGAGGAGAAAGAGCCTGTTGTTTGGGGCCTGGGGGGACTGGGGGAGGCCCTGGCCCGGGACCGCATACCAAGAGTGATGCCAAGAGAGGTGGGCGGCACTGGCAGCTGCAGGGAGGGGGCAGCTGTCTGCAGCCAGAGACAGAGAATAGGAGCCCCTTTATTCTTGCCCCCCCTGCACACTGGCCAGGAATTTGACCCTCTCTGTGCTCAAGACCCCCCATTCCCTGTCTCTTTCCAGCCGCTCCCCAGCTACCTGTCTCCTGCCCTCCCACGTGCACCCCCAGAACATCCCCACTGAGACCCGGGCACCAGGAATGTGCACCCAGGCAGCTCCTCCCTCCCAGCCCAGCCAGGGAACTTACCAGCTCTGGGGTCCCAAGGACAGAGAGCACAAGAGGGCAGCGTGGAACCTGGGACACCCAGGCACAGTCCCCCTCCTCCTCTGCCCCTTAGGGGATGACTCTCATAGCCCTCAGTTCTCACCTGCTCATTCACACCCTTTTGTCTCTTTGTCTCTGATAGTGAGTCTTCCTCTCACGCTCTACCTTCCTCTTATACTGTCTCTCTCTCCAGTCTCACCTTCTGTCTCTCTCACTCTCTAATCTCTGTCTTTACCAGTCTCTCTCTTTCTCATTCCCTCCTCGGCAGCATCCCCACCCCCATATCACTTTCTCTCCCAATCTTTCTGGTTCTGTCCAAATCTTTTTCTGGGACTCAGGGAGTCTCTTCTTTAAGTCTCCATCCCGTTCTCTCTCTCACTCTCTCTCTCTCTCTCTCTCGCTCTCTCTCTCGCTCTCTCTCTCTCGCTCTCGTTCTCGCTCTCTCCCTCTCTGTTCCCCCTTGTCTCTCTCTCTCCCGTACACTCAGTCTCTTTCTCTTTCTCCGTGGCCCTCCACGTCTACTGTTTCCTCCTCGCTCAGATTTCCCTTCTGACTTTCTCTCTTCCCCGCTCTCCCAGTTTCTCTTTCCTCTCTGCGGGTCCTTCCCTCCGTCTGCCAGCCGCCCACGCGGCTGCCTCCCCTCCCAATCCCAGCTGACCCCGCCCCTCTTGGCCTCCCCACCACAGCCTGACCTCTGGCTCAGCTGACCCCAAGCTGAGGGGCCACACACACACCCCTCCCCGATTCCTAGGCCCCTGCTGGGCTGGAGCCTGGGGAGCCAGGGTCCCATAAAGGCTGAAGCTGGGATTCCTAAATGTTTGGAAAGTAGGAGCTGGGCCTGGACTCCAGGGCCTCAGTGGGCTGGTGGTAGTCAGGGGCCTAAGTCATGGGCACCACGCCCCTCCCCCGAAAGGAGATGGCTAGGATCTTGGAAGGGGTGGGGGCTGAGACTCCAGGGTACCTGGGAAGGTGTGCGCTAGGAGTCAGGACTCCGGAGCTGTGAATAGAGCTGGGGGTCTGGAAGTGTGGCTTTAAGTGGATGGACCTCCAGTGAGGAGGGAGTGGCCCCCGATCCCTGGGTGCTGGCAAGAGAATGGTCAAATGGCCAGTGTCAATCTCCACCTCGGATTCAGATGAAAATTCTCTTCTAGACTGAGGTTGACCCCCTCAGGAGGGAGACATGGGTTCTGGGTGTATTTTGAGGGAAAACATTACGGACCAGGTCAGGGGTGGGTGGTGCGGCGGGACTGGGATTGTGTCCCTGGGCCTGGAATTTGTGGCAGAAGACCCCACTCTCCCATGAGGTTCCGTTGGTGCTCCCCAGCCAGAATTTCAGTTTGTGTAAGCAGAGATTTTGTACAAATTTGAAGCAGGTGAAACCTAAGAGTGGAACCTTGTGCCTGAGACAGGGAAGGAGTCCGAGTTTTTGGTTTCATGTCCCCTCACCACATATTTGTTGAGCACCTACTATGTGCCAGGCAGTGAGCAATGCAAGATGCCCGCCTTCAGGGGGCTTACACATTCTGTCTTTTTTGCAATGAATCTAGACTCTGCTGTGACCACCTTGAGCAAGTGATTTCATTCCCAAGCCTCAGTTTCCCCACCTGTGAAATGGAAACAATAATACTCTCCCACACCGGGTAGGAAGCCGACCGGATGGGAAAGTGGGAGACGCTAGACTGGGGTCTGCTGGTTAAATAGGGGGGGGGAGGCATCTGTCTGCAACAGGGGTTACGCGAGCTCCCTCACTGCTTAAGCAGTTCACGCGTTTGAGTGACAGCTCTCTCGCGTGGGGCGTGGCCACGCTTGGAAACACCGCCGCCGCCGTGACGTCACAAAGCCCGGAATCTCCGCGAGAAGTCCAACCTTGTTTTCCGCTCAGATCCTCACGTTTACGTTTCGAAACCCCGCCTCCCCTCTTGGCGTTAGCACGTCCGGCAGCGTTGGCCTATAAAAGCCCTGCGGGTAGCGTCAGCGCAAACCCGTTTAGTTTCCCACTTGTTTGTCTTTTTGCGTCTCCTGGCACGATCCCGCGCCCGTTTGTCGCGACAGCACTTGCAGCAGCCGGTGACAACTTGGGGCCCCGAGCCCAACGCCGGAGGGCGAGATGAACGCGCTGGCCTCCCGAGCCGTCCGAACCTGTGATCGCTTGTGGCAGCCCCAGCCGGTGCTCCTGCCCCCAGGGTGACGCACGGTCCTGAGCCGGTGAGTTGGGGGGTCGGAACACCTAGGTCCCCAGGGGTTTGGGGGCTGGGATCAGACTGCTGGTCAGTCAAGGGGAGGGAGCTCGGACTTCAGGGTTCCGAAATAGGAGGGTTCGGGGCCCGGACTCCTGGGTCCTAAGGAGGGCCTGGGAACCTGAACTCTGGTGTATGGAGGGGTGGGACGGACCCTAGGGCTCAGACTTAGGAAGCAGAAGGAATTGGGAACTTGGAGTCCTGAGCCAGATGGAGGAGGGTTCTGGGAGGCAGGCTCTTGGGTCCCCAATGAAGGAACCATCTGGGGATCGGAATTTTTGAGTCTCCGAGGGAGGAGGGTGATGGGGGTCTGATTTGTCAATCCTCAAGAGGGGGCGAGAAGCAGGGACCAGGACTTTGTCCCCAAGAGAAGCAAGTAGAGGACCTGTGTTCTCTCTTCTTGGGACTAGGACTTAATGGGTGAGAGCAGATGGGGCTAGGGGCTTGTTGAGCTAAGGACAGAGAGAATGGGGACCCAGACTCTTGGGTATTGAAAGAAGAGGTGGCGAAACAAGGGAGAGAGATGGGAGTGGCTGGGATCAGAAAGGAATGTGGGGCAGGGACTCTCCTGTTGCTATTTGTGTTACTATTTCCGTTGCTATGACTCAGGGTCATCCTCTGATACTATCCCCTAAATGGCTTCTAAACTTGATCCCTTTTTTTTTTTGCGGTACGCGGGCCTCTCACTGTTGTGGCCTCTCCCGTTGCGGAGCACAGGCTCCGGACGCGCAGGCTCAGCGGCCATGGCTCACGGGCCCAGCCGCTCCGCGGCATGTGGGATCTTCCCGGACTGGGGCATGAACCCGTGTCCCCTGCAACTGCAGGCGGACTCTCAACCACTGCGCCACCAGGGAAGCCCCACTTGATTCCTTTTTTTTTCTCCCTTTTTCCCAGTCCAGACAGATGGCCCCAGGCCAAGTGCCCCATCAGCCTGCCCCCTGGAGGGATACCCACCCCTTCTATCTCGTGTCCCCGCTGGTGGGCCTTCTCAGCTGGGCCTGGAGCCACCTGAGAGGCCCAAGATCTCCAGAGCCCTGGTTGGTGGAAGCAGTAACCGGAACAGATCAGGGAGAAGCTGTCCCGGAGGGAGAAGCTAAGGCTTCTGTGGCCACTCACCATGCCCCCAAGGGCAGGCACCCTCAAGAGGAGACTGGAGACAGTGGAGCAGCTGAGAACGACGGAGAAACATCCCGGGGGGCCTGCCCTGACCTGGAAACCAAGTGTTCTCTTCTTGAAGCCTGGGGACTTTCAGATGATGATGACGAAGAGTATGGCAGGAAAGAAGCAACCAGTATCCCTAGAGAGCAGGGAAGTGAATTTATGGATGGCCAGCCTGCTGCCCTGTGCCCCAGCCTTCTGGTAACATCCCTGCAAGACCTTCCTGGGGAGGAGGAATCTAAGGAGGAAGGGGTTACTGAAGATAAAGAAGTGATCACGTTCTCTTTTCCTCCATCACACTGGGAGTGTTGTCCAGGGGTAGAGGAAGAGGAGGAGGATGGAGAAGCTGTAAGTAAAGAAGCTCCTAGAACATCTGCCTCTCCCTTAGCTCTGGGATCCAAGCCCAGAGCTTGGGTGTGCTGCCCCGTGGATGGAGCCACAGAGGAAGAAAGAACAGAGAATAAAGCAGCCACGAAGACCTCCATTTGCCCCTCATCTGCAAGCTCCCACCTCAGGGCCTGGGAGTGCTGTTCAGGAGAGGAGCCTGACGAGGAGAAGCCCAAAAAAGCTGAGAAAGGAGAAGCTGACCCAGAGCCACACGCCCCAGTTCCAGCCCAGAGCCCCCCGCTCAGGACCTGGCAGCACCAATCCAGTGAGACCACAGAGGAGGAAGAGGAGGAGGAGGACCGTGATTCAGGAGAAGCTGAGGCTTCCTCTTCCATCCCACCCACAAGTGCCTTCCTGAGGGCCTGGGTGTACCGACCAGGAGAGGACACAGAGGAGGAAACTGAGTGTGAGGGTGAGAATGAGGACGAAGATGATGAATCAGAGGAAGCTGACTTGGAACCAAGTCCCTCCCTTCAGGCCCAGAGTGCCCTCTTCAGGGACCGGATATATCAGCCTGGAGAGGAATCAGAGGGAGGGGAAGCTGCCACAGAGTGGGGAGAAGCTGAGCCCTGCCCCTTCCGAGTAGCCATCTATTTACCTGGAGAGAAGGCCCCACCTCCTTGGGCTCCTCCCCCGCTGCCCCTCCGTCTGCAAACGCGCCTCAAGTCTGCAGAAACCCCCACCAGGCATCGGGACCCTGAGCCTTCCCTGAAGACCAGAAAGGTGGGTGCTGAGGGCTCAGATTCTTGAGGTTAGCGAGGAGAGGGCTGGGAGCTGGAACTCCTGGGCCTGGGGGCCAAAGGGCTGGAGGCCCCGATTCCTGGGTCCCCCGTGTTGCAGAGGGTTGCATGTGAGCTCTGTTGGGAAGGCTGTGTTCACTAATGCAATCCTTTGCAAGAGGCTGGGCCCATGTGGGATGAAGGAGCAGCTGCGCTGATGTCAACCCCAGGGAACTACCTCCATCTTCAGTGAGTCAGATGGAGGATCCGCTGGTGGGTGAATGACTAGCCAGATAACAAGCGTTGTTGTGCAACTAATTTTTGTTTGGTTCTCTCTCTCTGTCTCCCTCCCTCTCCCCACACCCCCCAACCTGTGGCCGTTTGTATCTTGTGTCTGTATCTCTGTGTCTCCCCATGTCTGTGACGGTCCATCTCCAGGTGCGCTTCTCTGAGAAGGTCTCCGTCCATCTCCTGGCTGTCTGGGCGGGACCCGCCCAGGCCGCCCGCAGAGGCCCCTGGGAGCAGTTCGCCCGGGATCGCAGCCGCTTTGCCCGACGCATCGCCCAAGCCCAAGAGGAGCTGGGTCCCTACCTCACCCCTGCCGCCCGGGCCAGGGCCTGGGCACGCCTTGGGAACCCTCCCACTTCTCTGGCCACCATACCTGCCCCTACCCCGACCTTACCCATGTCCCCATGCAGACCACACCTTTGAGCCACATTCTGGCCTCTCCGTCTCCTCGCTGTGTGTCTCCTTGCCTGGAGCTCAGTGGGAGGCGTGGCTAAGATGAAGTCGTTTTCGTGTTATTAACTATTTATTTTTAAGTGTTGGTTTCTATAAGGAATAAAGCTTTTCATAGTGAGCAGCGTCTCCGTGTGTGTCTGAACTGACACCATCAGTGGACCCCAGAAGAGTTGCGGGGGAACAGCATAAAGGCGAGCCTCGCAATAGAGGATAAACTACATTTCCCATCATCCCTCTTCCCATTCCGAGACTTCTTTTGAACTAAGGACTGGTGGGTTTTGTCGTTTTTCTTTGGCTTCCACCTATACTGGACTCACCGAAAAAGGGTTAAGCTCCAGTTTTCTGTGTGTCCTTGGAATACAAAGACTCATCCTCCTACTGGCAGATGAGTTGGTGAGTTCCTCAAGGCTTTCACATTTATGAGTGGGCCTGATTTCACATTTATAAATCATGTGTCCATAGACTCAGTTTCCTTATCTGTAAAATGCAGCTAACAATTGCACATACCTTATGAGTTTGTAAGGCCCCAAAGGAAGTCATAATTAAAACAATGTTTGGGGCTTCCCTGGTGGCGCAGTGCTTGGGGGTCCGCCTGCCGATGCAGGGGACGCGGGTTCGTGCCCCGTTTCGGGAGGATCCCGCATGCCGCGGAGCGGCTGGGCCCGTGGGCCATGGCTGCTGGGCCTGCGCGTCCGGAGCCTGTGCTCCGCAAATGGGAGAGGCCACAACAGTGAGAGGCCCGCATAACGCAAGGAAAAAAAAAAAAAAAA